TGTGTCATCTTCATTTCTCCCTCTTTCACCCCCGATCAAGACAGAGACCCACCCGCCATTTGTTTCAGTGTTGAAAGTACTATTTGGCTTGCTACCGAGGCAGATAACATGGCTAATTAACTAGCTAACGTCAACTAGTTTCCTCCCTCACGTTAACAGACAGAGCGAGGAATAGCAGACTAAAGTACTATGTTTCTGCGATTTAGTACAATAATTAAATTTAGCTGGTATCAAGTCTATACTTTTAAGCCTCCTGCCATTGTTTACATCTGTTCAAAATCACGACATTTAAAAAACAAACAAACTGCTGGCTCTCAGGTGTCTTTGCCACTGTTTGAGTGTTTTATGGAGAAAGACTGTGTGTGTGTGTGTGTGTGTAACACACTCGCGCTCTCTCTTACCTTATGTGTATGTGCACACATCCTTGTACCTCACCGCTCCAAACTTAATCCAGGAAAGGTGAACATTACTGCATCATAACTTGGACTGAAAGAGGAATGTGTAGAAAGTGAGCATGTCTCCAAAAACCTTGTTGAGCTGCAGGTTTAATGACTGCATTTTTTATTGATTTATTTTTTTACAGAAATTATGTTTTGATTATATTTTTGATTATTGAGCTGCAGGTTTAGGCTCACTTAAGTGACTGCATTTAATTAAGAAGAATTTAATTATTTATTCTAATTATTTAGCCTGACATGTTTACTGTTCCAAAATGTTCTATATGTTTCTTAAAAAAAATGGCTTTATAAAGGTAAAAATCCCCATAAAATGTAAAAATTTATTGGAAAGATTAATTTCTCTCAGTGTGAACTGACGACCACGGAATATGAAGAATATCAAAAACTTTAGGAGTCAGCTGTCCACGGCAGTCCTTAAGGTACCAGCACAATAACACATTCAGCAAAATATTGTCTAATTATCCTTATCGATAAAAACACAGAAAATATCGAGATATTATTTTTTGTCAATATCGCACACCCCTATAATAAAGTAATGTTAACGCAGCTTACTTGCGTTGTCAGGTTACTGATGTGCATGTAAACGGGGAAAACTGGTTATTTTAATAAGCTGATATTTGTGAGTTATCAGCTTACTGGTGTGCATGTAAACGTGCTTGAGATGATTTGATGCTTTGTGACATGGCATGTTATCCTGCTGGAAGTAGCCATAACAAGATGGTTACATTGTGGTCATAAAGGGATGGACATGGTCTGCATCAATACTCGGGCAGGCTGTGTCATTTAAACAATAATTAATTGGTATTATGGGGCCCACAGTGTGCCAAGAAAATATCCCTCACACCATTACACCACCATCAGTCTTGAGTCGGTGATACAAGGCAGGATGGATCCATGCTTTTGTGTCATTTATGCCAAATTCTGATCCTACCATCCGAATGTTGCAGCAGAAATCAAGACTCCTCAGACTAGGCAACCCTTTTCAGTTTCCTGTTCTTTTGCTGCTGTAGCCCGTCGGCTTCAAGGTTCAGCATGTTTAGAGATGCATTCAGAGATGCTCTTCTGCTTACCTCAGTTGTAACGAGTGGTTATTTGAGTTACTGTTGCCTTTCTATCAGTTCAACCAGTCTGGCCATTCTCCTCTGACTTCTGGCATCAGCAAGGCATTTTCACCCATAGAACTGATGCTCACTGGATATTTATGCAGACCATTCTCTGTAAAAGCTAGAGATGGTTGTATGTGAAAATCCCAGCAGATCAGCAGTTTCTGAAATAGTCAGAACAGCCTATCTGGCAACAAAAATCATGCCACGATCGAAGTCTCTTAAATCACCTTTCTTCCCCATTCTAATGCTGAGTTTGAACTTCAGCAGATCATCTTGACCATGTCTAAGATGTGAGTTGCTGCCATGTGATTGGCTGATTAGATATTTGCATTAACAAGCAGTTGAAATGGTGTACCTCAGAAAGTGGCTAGTGAGTGTATGTTGTGATCTAAAATTAGTTATAGTTATTTCAATCATGACAACTCTAGGAAGATTTTAGCATGGTGATGGATATGACAATATTAATGTATTTTGTCTTGGCGGAATAGATCTGCTACGCTGCTGCTGAATTGCTGCTACCATGGGCAGCATTTGACTCTTGAGTCAGGAGGGACAAGAAAAAAAATAAAAATAAAATAAATAAATAAAT